CATTGATTTCTCCTCTGATCTTTATAATTTCCTCCCTTGTATGAGCTTTGGGGTTGTCCTGCTCTTCTTTTTCTGGAAGCTTGAGGTTCAGCATCAGGTTGTTTAATTGGGCTCACTCTGTTTTCCTCATATGAGTAGCCACTGCTATGTATTTCCATCATAAGACTGCTTTCATTGTGTCCCATAGATTCCAATATGTTATATTGTCAATGTCACTTAATTATAGGAACCGTCTGATTTCTTCTTTAATTTCCTCTGTGACCCACTGGTTATTCAGAAGTGCATTGTTCAATTTCCATGTGTTTATGATATTTTTGCAGTTACTTTTGCTATTGATTTCCAATCTCATCGTACTATGGTCTGATAATATACAAGGGATAAGTTCAATTCGTTTGCACTTAGTTAACCATGTTCTATGAGCGCGTATGTGGTCTATTTTGGAGAATGTTGCTGGATCAGACGTTTCACATTCCTGCCATATAAACTTTAGTTCACCTGCTGTCTGTCAATGTTAAACTGTGCTATGGCAACCCACTGAACTTTCATATATTTTAACAGGCCAAAAAGGGAAAAACTTGAACCACTGCTATCAAACTAAATAACTATTGAAAACATTCATTAACAAGAACATACGAAATATATATTGGACAATTTTTCTTTTACAAAATCAGTCTAATGGAGGGAAGGAGAGAGGGGAGGAAAGATGAGATGGAGAGAGAGGAGAGGACAGAACATGGAAAGAAAGCAAACAAGGAGGAAGAAAGCAAAGAAGGGAGAAAGAAAGGAAGGAAAGAAGGAAGGACTGAAGAGTGGGAAGGAAAAAGGGAAGAAGGAAGGAAAGGAAGAAGAGAGGGAGGAAGGAAAGGAGGGAGTGAGAAGGGAAGAAAGGAAGGGAAGAATGGAAGAAAGCAATAAAGATAGAAGAAATGAAAGAGTAAATGATGATGATACAAACAAATTGGTCCAGTAAATAATGAAAACACAATTGAAATAATGAAATGTAATAAACTAGAAAAATACCTTAATTTATAAGTATTCTTTGATTATAGAATAATATAATAAGTAAAATAAACCAATCAAGAAGACCATATTTAATAGAGTTCTGTGTGCAAAGTAGATAGAAAAATTAAGGAGTAAGAAAAATACTTAAATTTTCAGTGTAAGAATTTTTTTGTTGATGTTTTTCAGTGGACAATGGTGAGTAATCAATGATTTTAGACTATGATGTCTGTATTTCTAAAGGAGTGACTACATTTCAAAATGCCAATGGTATATTGCAGTAAAAAGTATTAATTTTTCAAATTTTATAAATTTCTGATCAAAAGACACAAAAAAGTAATTTTAAAATGAACAAAATGGAATAGTCTTTAAAAACTTCTTTAATATTTTTGAAAAAAAATTAACTACCCTATTGTAGTTAAATAGCTTCAAGTGAAGTTCTAGGCAGAAGCATCTCAAGTGCATCTCAAGTGAAATTTTCAGATGTTAACCAACATCTCCAAGAGAAAGAATTACTGATCTACAGGAACTAATGGTATTAAACAAACAGGATATTGCCTCATTGTAAAATAATCTTTGCTTACATACACCCCAGGAACAATCCCCTTTGTTACCATCAAATTATTTTCAGAACTGTACAGAAATATAAGTGCCTTCTTTTGAAGACAGAGATCTTCATTAAATACATATATGGTCTTTTCAACAACCTGATTAAAAACAATGATTTTCCATGTTCCTGAGAATTAAATGAAAAATTCTGAAAATGTTCTGAATGTCACACCATGATTTCTTCTCGTTACCTTTCCAATATCATGCCAAATGACTCTTTTGTTTAATTTATTGCCGTAATTGGATTGCTTTCAATGCTTTAGCAGGCCAAGAAGGCACCCAGACACACTTTCATTTTAAATCTTTGCATTTGCTGTTTTTTTTATAATGCTGGCATTGCCTCATTCTTTAATTCTATTTGAATAGTAGTTTTTTTTTTTTCTTCCTCTGACCTCTCTCCTTGACTATTCTAATAATTCTCCCTCTCTGGTATTGTTTAGATGTCGATGTCCCTTAAAACTTCAAACACTCATAGTTGGGCTTTGGAGAGATGTTTGAATCATGACAGCATTAGTTCACTGATTTTGGGTGTTGAAGCCTGATTGGAGGAGGTGAGTCCCTGGGGGTGTGGCCAGGAAGGGTCCATCTCCCTCCTCCTTTCTTGATCTTTCCCCCTGCTTCCACTGCCTTGCCTTGAGCTGTTTCTCCTCTACCAGCCCTATGTGCCCTGCCACCCTGCCTTGGAGCAGGCCGATTATCGATTCAAAGTTCTATAAACTATGAGCCAAAACTCTCCCAGAGTTGTGAATGTCAGGTATTGTGTCCCAGTGACAAAGAAAGTAAGTAAAGCATCCACTCTCAACCTGTCACTCGACTTTGCATTTTTGAATTTTAACCCCCCAAGAAATAACAATTTACAATAACCTACGTTTTGGTGATTAATGTGCCTTTTGTTACTGCATCTTCCATAAAACTAAACATCGTACAGAGACAAATCATGCCTATTTGAGTCACCAATGTGTACTCATTATATGATCTCATGGTTAACATATATTCAAATTATTGAATGTATCTATAAATCAAATTAATGATGTTTCACAACCACATCATCAGAACATACTCTCTATTTTGACAGTTGAATTTTAAGGCACATACTTTGCTTAAGAAAATGTTAATCCTAAACATAATGAATATTTCATTAAAATAATCTGTCTGGTGTTCATTTTGATATAATCTCCTAAAGTCTTAATTTCATACAAGAACCTACTTAGATATAACTGAGATAACAATATGGTATGTAAGTTATAAATCACATTATATTAATTTAACCATCTCTTAAATTCTTAAGATTATCTTAGCCTAATTTAGTATCTGACATTTTTGTTAATTAAGTGGATATATTTTCAAAAAGCTTGTTTTATACCAAAATCTGTCATATGTAATTTATGTATATTATTTAATAAATGTTTATGGCAAGTCCCTGGGGTAGAAATTATCATCTGTTTTATCAAGGAGGAAACTGAAGCATAGAGAAGAAAAATAACCTACAAGAAATGAAAAACAGGTACTTGCAAAGATAGAATTTCTATCCATGTTTGTATGCTAAAGGACTACTACTGAAACCTTGATCAAATTCATTACACACATAGTTTTATTTTCAATTTCAGAGTAAATTTATGTCACTTCAAAACACATGTATCTACTAAAACAAAACCTCCTCAATATTACATAATTTTTTAAAAACCTCAAAATATAGATCTATTTTATTGTTAGAGGCATCCACCTTGTTAAAAATAAGGTGTGATTTTTTTATAGAATAAAAATTTCTGTATTTTGTTTAATAGCAGAAAAGTATTCTACCAAGTGACATCAAAAAAGTAGAAGAATAAAGATGCAGAAGTGAAATACAACTGCAAACAAAGAAACAAAGTATATACTGAACGAAATACCTCCCATTATAAAAGACACTCACTGACAGTGTACGTTATGTGGAAAAGAATGTGTCTGCTACTCTTCCTTTTGCATTTTGTTTTGTTTCTTAGTTCAAGGTTAGGCATGTGAAATCCACTAGATTACAAATTACAGTTTACACAGCTGATATGACAAGCATAGAATATTGCCTGCATTCTTTCTGTTATTTTTGCTATTGTGTCCTGGGTTTAAAACATATTATGTCGATTATGAAAATTACTCAGAATTATCTCAGTGAATTCATTCATGGTGTTTTCGTCTCACCTGGGTATGATAAAAAAGTAGAAAATATATTTAAATTAATTGTTCCTTTCTTAGTAATTGTGATTCTGTGAATCCCTCAATTTTATTTAAACATAAGTATAATTATGAGAAGTCATATAGAAGTGTATTATTTAGCTGTAAGATAAACTAAAATCCCTCTTCCTACCTTCACTGGTTTACAAAAGAAACCACCAGATTTAAAAGTTCTAGGAACAAATCCTAACAGCCAAGGGCAGAATTTGATGACAATTTCAGTGTGACTATGAAACTACTTTTAGTTAGGTAAAGCTATGAATATTTTTGAGCCTTGAATTGTTTTTCAGGGATCTGCATTCTAATAAACATTTTAAAAATAGTGTTTGCTAGCCAGGAAAAGGCTTACCAAATATTCATAGGGAAAGAAGCAACTATCACAGGATTTATTTTCTCAATTTATAAAGATAAAACATCTAAATAACAGTTGTATACACTTTCTATCTGTCTAACTTGAGTGATTCTTTTAATTCCACAGATGAGATTACATCATAAGCTTTTATATGCCGATACAGATCCTGCAGACAATCTACTATAGAATGATAATTTCTATAGTTTTCTTTCATTCCTTCCTTCCTAATTTATCAACTAGGGAAATACATATATTCAAATATTCTCAGTAATGTTCATTATTCTTCTGTTCTTCACAGAAAACCTAGTTATTTGATACCTTCTCCACTATCCTATATATGAGATATGATCAGAAACTATCGTGAATGTTTAAATTTTAAAAAATTATTATAGTAAATAACACATTAACTCCCCTCATAATACTCCTTAATACTCCTTGCTCCTTAATACTCCTCCATAATACTCCTTGTTGCTTCCAACACACTTATCCCATTGCTCTTGCCACTTACTTAAGCAGTTCTAAGAGTCTTCTTTCATAAGTATTGTTATGATTAAGATCAAGAATGTCCCCCAAGAGCCTTAAATGCTCAAAGAAAGGGCTCCTTTGGGAAACTGTGTATCCAGTGGCAAGAAATGAATCAAAGTCAATGGTTAGGTTCAATGTTGACCTTATGGGGAAATTTGATTTGGTTCTTGTCCAATTCAATTTGCTACCAGAATCATGGGAAGAATTAAGTTTGTGAATGAAGTTCGTGAACTAAGGCACCACTGTATCCCACAAAATTATAGAGGTTATATTCACATGGATGAATTGTGTTTATCTCAAAATTTTATTCTATTTTCTGCTCCCACTTAGAGAAAAATAAAACAAATATTTTGTCATTTTTATCTTTCCCTCTTTCATTCTTTTTCTTTTCAATCTAGATAATGGATGTGATACATTCTTACATTGTTCTTATAATAAAGTTGATTTCTGTTCTTTGACCTCATATTATTAATAGTTTTGCCTTCTACCAACATTAGCCACTCATTTCTACAGTTGTAAAATCAATGGCTAATCATTCCAACTGCCTACTCCCATTATCTCAATCTTATTATCTTTCTACCCTGCTCCCAAAGTACTGCAATTATAATAATTTTTAGATTTCTATGCCCAACAAGATAAAATGTGTTTAGCTCATTTCCTTTCACTAATTGTAATTCTCTTCACTTCTACATTTTCACCTTTATCTAAATTAAATTCACCATCAGCATCATAATGTGTCCTTTGTACATAGCTTCAAATTATATAACTTCTATTTTCCCAGTCTCTTAGAAAATCCAAATCTTGCTTAAATGCTTATTGCTATTTACTCTTATTTCATACCTGCACAGTGATGAAAGGGTCAAAAAAGTCTACCAGTCTCACTTCAAATTCATGTTCACCGATCTAAAGAGGACCCAAAGTGCTGCCCAGTCACCACCCCAGTGCTTTATATCTATTCATTATTCTATCCTTCCTGAAGACCTTTTTGTATCTTCCTTTCTCCCTAAGTTTGTTAAACACCTCTTACCTTTTTCATTACTTAGTATGACATGACCACACTTTCCTTCTTATTGACTACCATTCTTTTTTAAATTGAGAAAAATGTATTCCCCATCTGTGAGCATAATTAGCCAGAATCTCTTCCTTTCTTTCTCTGACAAATAAGAATCATCTCTGTTCATACCTAGGTCTGTCTTGTCTCCTTGCATATTTAGCCCATCCTCTCTCCTATTCGATGTTACTCTTGAATTTAACCTTATTCTCTCTCCTTCTTCTTCCTCTCTTCTTCCTTTGCCCTTTTTCATTCTGTTCTTTGCTATTTTTTTAATATTAGGCTACAATAAGATATTTCACAATAACACACACAAACAGGCACACACACACACAAACACACACATGCACACATACACATTTTCTTGACAGTAATCAAAACACTAATAAGCCCAATGGCCAATTCCTACCTTTTATCTTATATGAAGGCCATTTTTTTCTCTGAAATATTTTCTTGGTTTTGTTACTAGGTGAAATCTCTTAACATATAGATGATAAAAAGCCATGTATTACAAGTGTGTATCCAGGAAAAACTTTAATTTGAGACTTAAAGAAAAGAGACCTGACACTTATCAAGAAATCAGGACTAAACCACTTTCAGAACAAAAGGAGAAGAAAGCTTTCATTTATTTGTTGGGATGTGCTAAACTCCATTATGGTTCCACTAGCCAGGAGCACTGTTCCCAAAGATATTTCTTGTGTGAGACTTGATCCACCAAGGAAGAATTATCCACTTGTCCTATAGCCTCTTGAATCTCTGTTTTTGGCACCTTTGTCTTGTGCAAAATATCTTCGCCTTATGGATTTGGTACTTATGATAGCACATAAGGTCATTAGGAACTGAGGCTGCTGTGGATGTTCAAAGAGCATAAGTGTGAGGATTGGAAAAGGAAGAGACAAATAAAAAAGAAATACATAGCAGCTCCAACAGGTGCACAACATGTCTCTAAGTGGAGCAAATAGACTCTGAACCATATATGGAATATAACAACATTAATTTTTTTTCCTTAATGGACTTTCCCATTGCTAGACATATTATATTATCTGCTGAAGAATATCTTTCTTCTTCCACAAAGGAGTGGGAAAATCTATGTAACACAGAATATGATATAAAATAAGTAGAGCAGTATAGGAAGAGAAAAAGATTAATAAGATAAATATAAATTATACTTCCTAAAGGCAATTTGGGATTGATTTGTATTGATAAAGTAAGAGATTTTCTTTCTTTCTTTTTTTTAACTTTCCTTTTACTATTTTCTTTCTCTTCCAAAAACATTTTTGATTCTGTGGGAAAAATATAGCTTGTGATTATTTGCCCATCTTCTTACATATACATATACTTGTAAGTAAGGAACAGTCTTATAATTAACTGTATATGTACTATATGACTATTCCACTGTTCTTATAATAAGACTAAGTAGTAAAATTATGCTAAAACAATTTTATCAACATAGAATAACTTTTTTTTTGGTACCAGGGATCAAACTTGGGTCCTTGTGCTTTTGGGGCAGGTGGCGGAACCATTGAGCTAAATCCTCAGACCAAATAACTTTTATGTAATATGTTTTATTCATGTTATTCATTTCCTTTAATTAATTAAATGAAAGAAAATTGGTATAGCAATTACTTTCCATGTTACTTTGGTCATTCAGACTTGGTACTTCATACTTGAGCTCTTCCAAAACAAACAAACAAAAAAGAATCCTAATATACTTTACATGTCTTATTCTTAGAGAATACTAAAGAAATACAAAGTTTTCAATATATAGTAAGATGTCCTGAAAATCTCAGGCAATTCTCACTAACATTTAAGATAAGTAGCAATATATAATAAATACTTCAGTGGGAAATAAGGAAAGTATAAAATATTAATAATGTATTGAAAAATTGGCACTCTTAAAGAAAAATTCCATCCCTTTATAATTTTTCCACATCTACTCATCCATATCATATTAGAAACTTGTTAGATATGAATAAGGTTTGAAATAATCTTGGTTAAATTACTTCTAAACTTGCTAGAAAAAGGTTCTTTGCTGATACTTTGAAATGTAATAATAAATCCCTGCAATACACTCAGATAGAATACTTCTATAATGCAGTGTGAAGTGCGTGGCATACCATTTGTTAGATCTTGTTAACTCTGACTCATAAAATGTGACATTTCTTATGCCATTTGCAAGGCAGTTAATTTATCCAGCAAATCTCATGATATTCTCTACACTCAAAAAGCTTTACTATTTAGTAATAAAAACTCCTTTTCAAGAGGTAGAAGTGATGTAGATATATAATGTGATAAATATTAGATTTTATTATAAACTGTAAAGTAACTCATGCTAGAATTTTGAAATTTAGTTTCCAGATCAACAAGGTAAAAGCAACTACAATAAAATGTTAGCTATTAACTTGGCATAATATTTTTTATCTCACTGTATCAACACTTTAGTGATAAATTCTATCTTTTTCATTGTATCTATTTCTTTGAAAAGTAACTTCTGGAGAAAATTTTGAGGTTGGTAATAATAACTATTATATAGAAACAAGTTACATGTGAAATATTTACCTATAATTTTACTCTGAAATAAATATTAAAAATACAGTCATTCATTCATGGAATCATCAAATACTGCTTTCTAAACATTTTCATACTTTTGGCTGTTTTAATAGGTAGAGAACACAATCATTTGTAATTTTTTTAGTATGTTTTGAAATAAGAAGGATTCTGATGTAACATATTTAGAAAGTTGTCCATAATATGATAGGATTCTGTAGAAAGCCAATAAATTTTAAAAAGACAAAATAATTACCTGGCAATGAGAAAATACAAGTATGTTCTTGCATTATAAAATTCTTCAGCTATACTTTTAGAATTTAATTATTCTCCAAGAAAATAACTTTTAATAATTACTGTAATGATTCATTTTTAAAATCATTAAATTTTTAGAGGTGTGAGGGAGAGAAGGAAAAGAAAAGTAAAAAAAAATTATGATGTATTATGTACAAGTTCCAACTCCCTAAGGTGAATATAATAATGTAATGTAAACATATACTAACAAATGTTGAAGAATAGAAAATGAAAAGCTATTTTGTTTCATGGGATCCTTGTTTCCAGTTTCTCTAGAAAATGATAGATGAGACATTTCAGCTACTTTTTACAGTTGCCTATGACCTAGAAAAATATGTGCTGATTGTTATTGTTAAATTTATCTTTTAAATTTTCATAAATAATCCCTGATGTAAGTCACAGGACGAATGGATTATCTCAAGTATACAATTAAGTTTTCCTATTCAGACATTAATATCACCATGAAATATTTAAGCATGGTGAATCTTCCATCAGTCACATAACGCTTACATTTTCTAAATCATTTATTGATATTTACTGGAAAATCTCTTGGTGCAAAATACTTTCTTAAATATTGAGGAGGCTTTGTATGACTTGGTTTATAGAGCAAAGAAATTTATGAAGTATGAAAGAAATAATAATCCTGGTGAGAAAAATAATCAGAAGTGTTCTAGTGTTTATTTGTATGTAGGATGTATGACAACTTATCCATTCAGTTTCTAATAGGATCCATCTCAGAGAAAAAAAAAATTAGAAAAAAGAAAGTAGATGCTGCCCAAGAGTCTCCTTGCAGTAGTGCAGTGTTGATAGAAGAAAGCAATAGTGTTCCAACAGTTGAGACTGAAGGAGGGACAGAGTAAAGAAGTAAAAATTTAAAAAAAGGAACATGATAGGGAGAAAGCAGTGGAGAAAGATAGAAAAATAAGAGAGAGAAAAGACACATTTTAGCAGCAGCCAAGTATTAATTATTTAAAAATCAAAATAAAAGGTAGATAATAGGAAATAGAGAAATAGATCTTTTGTAAAAGGGCAAGGGACAAAGAGATGAAGGGAAGCAACAAAGTGTAGAGGGGAAGAGGAAATAAAAAAATTAAGATGTGTTTATGTTCATGTACCAATTATCCACCATACTTGTAATCTTTATGTACTGTAAACATACAATAAAAAAATTGAAAAGTCATCACCATTCCACTGCTCCTAGGGCAGAGGAGGTGAGCCAAGCCAGCAGCACACCCCTCCCCTCAGTGGAAATGAGAAGACACATGAACAAGCCTCAAAAACAGACTTCCAGACCACCTACAGCAACCCAAAGGGAGACGAGATGGAACACTCTGATACTCAATCACCTGGACTCCCTGAACTGGCAACAAAAGAGGATCTGGAAAAAATGAAATCAGAAATAATTTCTCAGATAACTGCAAAGATTGTACCCATAGTGCAAGACATGATTAATAAATCTAGAGAGGACACAGATAAAAAAATAGAGGATCTGAGGAACATGTGGAATCCCAACATAGGAAATAAATGGAATCCATAAAACAGATACAAATGGATTTCCAGGGGATTAAAAATTCCACTGAAAGTCTACACAGCAGAATGAACGCATGTGAGGACAGAATTTCAGATATAGAAGATAAGATTGCAATTAGTGACCAGGAATAGAAAAATTGCTTCAAAATTGTAAGGGACCAAGGGAAAGCAATCCAGCAGCTGCTAGATGATGCAAAGAAGAATAACACAAGACTGATTGGAGTCAATGAAGAAAGAGGAGAGCGTGCAGATGACATAAAAATACTGTTCACAGAAGTGATAGCAGAAAATTTCCCAAGCAGGGGAAAAGAACTTGACATACAGATAAGTGAAGTGTGTAGGACACCAAATACCCTTGATCAAAAGAAATCTACACATAGGCATATAATAGTTAGGATTCCAAAAACCCAACAGAAGAACAAAATTCTACAAGCAGTGAGAGAAAAGAAGTGAATCACATACAAAGGAAAGCCCATCAGAATCACAGCAGACTTCTCAACACAAACATACAAGGCAAGAAGAGCTTGGAGTGATGTATTTCAAACCCTAAAGGAAAACAGCCTCCAGCCCAGAGTGATGTACCCTGCAAAACTATCTTTCAAAATTGATGGAGAAATAAGATACTTTCATGATAAAGAGAACCTTAGGAACTTCATGAATACCAAACCAACACTCCAAAATTTTTTGACAATATCCTAGGAAAAGACAATGAGG